CTGCTAACCCAAGCCTAACAGGACAGATTTAGGGATACAAGGCCCCTTGTCTCTTGTGCTTTCCTCTACAAAGGACCCACAGCCTGGCAGCAAATTTCACTGGCACTGCTCCCTCCCTAACAAACTGTCAATCTTTTTATTTGGAGGGGAGGAGGTCACACATCCTAAAACAACTGCAAAGGGAAAAGAAAAAAATGATAAAAGAAGGGCAAAAAGGGCTGGAGGGGCAAGGAACAGGGGGAAAAAAGGGAATCAAGGTATAGCATATATAGGTACAATTCCCCTGTGATAAATGTGATCATTATGTATGTCTAAATGGTATCAATAAAATTACTAAGAAGAAACAATTCAAAGAAACAAATAACAATTGTAAATATATATATGCACTGAATATCAATGCACCCAACTTCATAAAACAAACACTACAAAACATGAAATATCAAATAAACATCCACACCACCATAGTGAGACATCTCAGTGCCACACCTTCACAAACAGAACAAGACAAATCAACAAAGATAAATCAAAGTTGAACTATATACCATCAAACAAATGGATCTAAACATTGCTTACATAATACTAAGGAACCAAAATTACCTATATGATCAGCTCACAGTGCACTGAAACTAGAAATCAATGGCAAAACAACATAAATTTTGCAAACACATGGACATTACATAACACACTCCTTACTAGTTCATGGTATACAGAGGAAATCAAAAGAGGAATTCCTAGAATCATCTGACGCCATTACAGCACAGCAGAAACTATGCAATTCAATGAAAGAGGGACCTTTACTGCTGTGAATGCTCCCATGTTAAAAATACAGAGTGATCTCAAATAAATAACTCAATGATACACCTCAAGATCAATGTGGGAATTAGTGATTAAGACAACCTCCCCAATGAATCAATGCAACAGAGAGCTGGTTCTATGAAAGAATAAAATAGACAAAGCCTTGGCCAATCATAGCAAAAGAGGAAAAGATGCATATCAATGCAATAAAAAATAAAAAAGGTGAAATCATAACACTGCTGTAATACAAAACATTATTGGTAAATAGGACAAAAATTTGTTTCAAAAAATGGAAAAATCTAGAATAGACAGATTCTTAGACATGAAGGGCTACCAAAGCTGAATCAAGAAGTATAAAAAATCTGAACAGTACAATGATAGGCAAATGAAAGAATGGCAGTAACAAAAACTCCACTAATAAAAATCCAGGATCCAAAGGATTCAATGCAGAGTTCTTCAAGACCTTCAGCGAAGATCTAATGTCAATATTCCTTGAACTCCTCAATGAAACTGAAAGAGAAGGAGTATTGCAAAACTTACTCACGGAAGCTAATATGACCCTCATACAAAGACAGAGTAGAGAGTAGCAAAGCTGGCTGGGGAAGCAGGTAGGACCTATTGATTACAAGATCCCAACACAGGTGCAGGATAGTTCCCAGAGCCTTGCAGGTGGACTTCTCAAAAGAACTGGGGCAGTTTTTCAATAGGATGGCCTACAGCTGACATCAACCTGAGACCATGCTCTCAGGCATCCATATGTAGACGTCCTCTCAGGATTCCTCAAGATTTGGGCAAAGTAAAAATGAAGAGGCGGGCAATGTGACTCTTCACAGCATGGTAGGAACACAAAAACAGGTGTGAGGATTAATGGAACAGGGGATGCAGAAACAACTCCAGGCACATGCAGTCATCTCATCTGTTTTTGTGCTGATACTATGCTGCTGTTTTTATCATTGGTGCTTTGTAGTATAAGGTGAAGTTTGAGATTATGTAGCCGCCTGCTTTGCTCTTGTTGCCCAGCAGTGCTTTTGCTATTGTTGGTCTCTTGTGGTTCCACATAAAATTTTAGGGTACTTTTGTTCTAGTTCTGTGAAGAATTTTAATTTAGTTTTAGTTTTATCAATAATCATACTGGTAATGGTATTATTAGCACCATTATTCTGCGATTGTTCTGTGTTTACTACAGGATAAGTAATTATGGGATATTTGAATTCTATCATCCTATATCCCTGACAACCAAGACTGCATATTAAAGAGCAATTACTTCAAAGATTAACTGAAACTTGTGTTATCCTAAATTTGAATTCAAAGCATCAATACGTTTTCAGGTTTTAACTTTAAATATACAAATATATTTTAATCTCTAAAAATATTGTCATATATAAATATGTATATAATACTTACACAAATATATTTCAACTTTATTCATAAACTTAAAAAATATATATATGTACAAAGAGAGAGAGATTCTAACTTTCTAGCTTATGGTCTTGAAATAATATTTTCAACTTAGGGACAATTTAAGTATCAATTTAATTAGAATTGCATTTTACCAAATGTTTAAAACCCAAAAGTTTAAATATGTTAGGTTAGTACTGTTTAAACATCCCAGTTATCAGTTAGGGACCACACAAAAGTGAATAGAGGAATCAAATGATGGTAAGGGGCCTGCTTTGTGGTTTCACAGCAAAGCCAAACAAGGTCATAAGTGGGGAGCCTTGGTTTACACACAGACTCAGTTAAAAACATAAAAGCTACAAATACATTCTACTAACAGATATAGGTAACAGTTAGCCTACTGAAAAACTTTTCTTACCCTACTAGTGAAAGCTGACCAATAAGCTGCCTGTAACAGAGTTCAGACAGGGACCAGTCAGAATCCGTTATTTGCAAGGAGGACCTGGATGAAAACTTTTAAAGGGAACTTTTTCTGTATTACTCGTTTCCTTTTTTCTAAAAGTTACTGGCCTGACATGCTCTTAGTCATTGGTGTCTTTAGTCCTAATTAATACAAGCCTTGCTTGTGTTTATATTCCTCTGGGTTCACTCTTGTTTCTTCTGTTTCTACACCTAAGAACACAGCTCTGATATCAAAACTAACACTTAAAAAAAGAACTGGTTACCTCAAGGAACGGTAGTTTGTCTTGAAAACTGGAAATCAAAAGGAAAAACACAAACATTTTTTCCTTATCTTTCCTATAGAAATTAGGTAACAAAATAGTAAATGAGAAGGAAAGCACATATATATCTCAATTAATGAACTGGTAGAATATCACTTTTTTCCAACCTTCAAAGACTTAATGGCAACAAAAAAGAACAGAAAAGAGAGCATTTAGATACTGTACAATTACAGAAAAAAAAGCACAGTACCATGTGTAGGATATCACTTTACAATATTACTCTAAATCTTAGCAAATATTTTATATCTGGGTCTGACCAGGCCTCTGGATCCAGCTGATCATCTGTAGGAAATGTTGGACTATAGTAAGAATATGCAACCTGCCAAATACAAACTGTAGAGAAACTACATGTCAAACTACTCAGGTTCTTCACCAGATGAATTGCAAGGAAAAAAGAAAGACAAAAGGGAAAATCTGGAAAAAGAGATACATTAGATAAAAAAGGAGTGAAGTAGAGCTAAAGTGTAATGCTCAGGTAAACATAATTTGCTAGTAACACCACAAGGAAGTGATTACTACAAGCCAGGACAACAGTTACTCCTGAGAACAGAGTAACATTGACAATATATGATTGATTACAATATATGAAGCAGGTTCTGGGCTAAGCCAAAAATGCTCAACCAGGGCAGGTGTTAAAAGGCCTTGCAACAGTTCATTAGTACACTGTTGTATAGTGTTATCTATTCTGTTTAATAACAAAGGTTTTCTTTAAATAGTAAATTATTAGTAGAGAGCCACTCAACTCATCTGGTTATTTCCAAATGGCACAAGGAACTCACTACCCATTCCCACTAAAATCACAACAGCACAGCAACTAACTGTGAATTCAAGGATTTCAGATCCCTACAGGATCTAAAGAAACTGATGCTAAGTGTTCTACCTAAATAACTATCTTAACATGAAGCCTAGACCATTTCTCCACTTAGAAATATATGTTAAAAACTGAATGAAACAATAAAGTGACTATTAGTGACTTTATAATTACTAGACTTACCCAACAGTTTACCCACCATTAGGAAGAGTTGGTAAAGGTTTGACTGTTAAGAATGCTACTTTAGAGGAATCTCCCCTTTTCCTTCCTATGAGGTACACAGAATTTCTTTCCCAAAGTTCAGAGTAAGCAGAGTAGAGTGATTCAAAATTGACAAAAAATAACAAACAAACAAACAACAGAAAACCAAAATTGCCACCAAGTTCTCAACATAAAATAGAGAGGAAAGAGTAAAGGAGAACCGCCTTAGCCTCCAAGACATAATCCCTGTGCCCTCTAGGTCACTAAGTACACTGTAGATTAATCTGACGTCATAAAACAAGGGAAATTTCACCATAAGCAAAGGAACTGTAATCCAAAAACTTTCACTACAGAACTACAAATTTACCAAATGTTTAAAAACCAAATTTCGCTGAACACATTTAGACTGCATTAATGATAAAAGGTGCCTTTAACATCTGCTTCATTTAAAAATTTTGTTTCTGAATAAAACTGTCCTCAGAGATTCATACAGAAAAGCAAATATGAAAAAACAGATCTATCCCAAAAACTTACATAGAATAGCCTCTTCACCCTATTAGAAATGTATTATTTGAAAGCAATTTTTTTTTTTTGGTATTGGGGATTGAACTTGCGACCTCGCGCTTGCCAGGCAGGCGTTTCTGCCTCTGGGCTATATCCCCAGCCCAGAAATGTATTTTTTGAATATGCAAAAGCTTAATCCTACACTTTATCAGAAAAATATCTACTACAACAAACCTCTAGGCACTAGGCATTTCACAAATGTCCCATTTTCATTTCATTTTTTGGAACTAACCCTATTTTATAAAGAAAATCTGAAAACAACAGCATAACCCACAATGGTTTTGAACTTTACTCAAATCATATTCTTTTCAATGACTCTTTCTGCTTCCAAGAAAAACTGGCCATTTGTAAATTATAATCGCTTCTTCTTTTGTGTACTGGCTTTAGAAAATTGAACTTTCTATCATATCTTTATTTCCATACCATAAATTCATGCTTCCATGTCTTACCACTTATTTCAAGCTCTGCCCAATGTGACTTCTTTCCATTGGCTGCTTCCTCAGAGGACATAATTGTGTACATCCTCCGAGGGTCAGGGGGCTCGTATTTTTCTTTGGGCATGCCTATTAAATGAAGAAAAGAAACTAATCAAAATTGTGGAGAATCAAATATATAAAAGTAATAAAACTCTTTTAAAAGCAGACAACCATATTATGACCTCTAAATACCATATCCCACACTTCAAGGCACTATGGATTTCTTAGAGAAATCAGGTCCAGGCTAATGCAAATACAAACAAGCCTTGAAGCCACCAAGGGCATGGTAGTTGTGAAGAAGACAGGTGCCAGTGTGAACTAGGTAAGTGTAAGACAATCTGAGTACCACAGTAATGACTATAATTGAATCACTAGAAACTGCATGAATACTTTCTTTCTACACTACTGGGGATTAAATCCAAAACTTTATACTAAGCTCCATGTCCAGTTCTTTTTATATTTTTGAAATTTGAAATAAGGTCTCACTAGGTTGACCAGGCTGAGTTCAAACTTGTGATCTTCCTTCCAGAGCACCAGGACTATATGCATGCACCAACAGCCCTGTTTCAATTCAAACTTTTAACTACAATGAAAATCAGCTAAGTCACCTGAATATTGGAAAACAAAAACATCAAGCATTTATCATGCATTTCTGCCAGAAACTAGAGGAATGTTCTTTATAGAATTACAGCTAATAAATGAAGTTACATAATTAGGTCATTATTTTATAACCATTTATGAAATAATAAATTCAGGCAATGATCATTAATAGATGATAAGACCACTGAAGGGAGTAAAGGAAACCATGCAAAAAGGAAACAACTGCAAGACCTGAAGGCAAGGCTCAATCTCATCTGGACAAGCAGCCACTCTGTACCTCCTTGATGAGATGATAGGAAGCAGTAGGGTCCTTGCCCCTTCTTCCCTAAAACATAAACAATGAACCTGAAGCCAATAAAGTCTCTAGATCTGGGACCAGTTTACAAAAAAGGAAACAGAGGAACATATTTATTAAAATAACATGAGTACACTTAATACTACATACCAAAGAACTGCACACTTGGTTATGATGCTAATTTTAAATGTGTTTTATAAATTAAAACTTTTAAAAAATTTTTCTAGCCCACAAGAACATAGCTGGCAAGATTAGGAATACAGAGCTCTATATGGTGAAAGACCCAGTTTCTTCAAATTAACGGCATAAAAAAGAGGGATGAGAGAAATAGATGGAATAAATGTTGTAATAGGCACAGCAATCAAATGCAATATAAATCTGAACAAATCAAATGTAAAGACATTTTTAAATTCAGAGAAATTTGAGGATGAACTAAGTATCAGCTAATATTAAAAACATATTGCTCATTTTAAAATGGTATTTTAAAATATCATTCCTATTCGTGTTCCCTGAAATCCATGTTCCCTGTCCCACGTCATGTAATTCTTACAGATGAAATCTTGTGTACGAAATTCTTTACCTACTTCCTACCTACTCCTAGCTAAATATAACTAGGAAAAACTCATGACTCTGGCAAGTGCCAAAAATGCTGCCCACAAATTAGACTAGAAATTGCAAGTCTGTCCTAGTGGCTGGTCTCTTCAAACCTGTTAGGTTAATAGTAACTTATACTCCTCTAGCTTTCTTCTCAGCTGATGTCCCTACTTCTATTTTCTCACTGAAAAAGGGTAAGTCAGAAGAGTCCTTTCTGTAAACTCCCAACTATATTCTTGTTTACTGTGAACAAACTGCCTACACTCTTCGAATTGAGTCTGCCGAAGCATCCCATCATTCTGCTTCTTCAAGGTCAGTACTCGCAATGTTCACCTTTCATCACTTTATTCCTGCCTGCTGCATCTTTATCAGCAGCACACACATAGGACATTATTCCTCTCCAGCTGCTACGCTTCATTCACTGATTCTAAGGCAAGAAAAATTCTCAAGAGTTACCTCTGCCTTCTCCCAGCTAAACCCACTCAACTTAGTAAATGTTAATATTCTACCAAAAAAGTCATGAAACCCACTGACCTTACTTCCTGGACCTTTTTTTAGTTGTTTTATGATCAACTTCTGATGCAGTTGATCACTCCATTCTTAAAAAACACTTATTTCACTTGACTTCTAGGACAATGTTTCTCTTAGTTTCACACCTACTTCTGCAGTTAGTGGTTTACCAGCTAATCCTGCGGAGTTCAAATTATCTCCATTATACCAACAGAAAACTAAACCTCAAAAGGCTTGAGCAATTTTCCATACTTACAAGGGTGTAATTTGGCAAGTCAAGCTTTGAAGGTGTTTGATTATAAATTAAAGCTACTCAAGTTATGCTGCACTGCTTCCCTACTAGTGCAAAGTGGAAGTGTATTTCCAACACAGAAACAAGTTTTGACCACTTAAAGCATAGGAGCTAAGAAATCCTCATACACTGTTTGAAATAACAATACAAATGGTAAGATTATTGTGCACAAGGCTTAACAGCACATCACAAACATGGCTTGTTATATACTGATTAAAAAATATTTCTTTATATGCAAGTTTATTCAGCATATAATACAGTAATTGATATTTACTAGACTGAGAGAATTCACCCACTATTAAAAGGTGTACAGTACAGAACCATTTGGCTGGTCCTCTCTAGAGGATAATTTGCTGAAGTTAAGTGCCCTTTCTGAACAACATGAATACACTGGTAATATCCCAGGAAATACAGAATGTTATATTAGGGTACCAGAACTAAGAAAACACTCAACTGCCACAACAAATGCTTTAAAAAATGGGTGGGGCTAGGGATTTAGCTCAGCGGCATGATTGCCTGCCTTGCAAGCAGGCAGTCGTGAGTTCGATCCCAGGTACTGATAAAAAAGAAAAAAAGACAAAAAAAAAAAAAAATGGGTGCACTAAACTAAATACAATAACTACAAATAAAGAAGCACAGACAAGACATACTGAGAAAAAGGGAAAGGCTAGACCTAATAGGAGAAAAAAGTATCTAAATATTTCATTTTCTAGAACAATGTTGGGACAAAAAGCAAATAACAAAAGAATCCAGAAACATGTTCCAAGCGATATTCAAAAAGCAAATGAAGTGTATTCTCACAGTTTTATCTGAATCTTTTTTTTTTTTTTTTTGTACCCGGGATTGAACTCATGACTTTGCGCTTCGCAGGCAGGCACTTATGCCACGGAGTTAAAGCCCCAGCCTTATTTTCACATTAAAAAAAAGTGAGAGAAAGCAAAGAAATTAATAACACCCAAGAGACAATTACTCTGCTTTTCAGCATATCTACCTTTCAGGTATTAATCCTAAAGAAATGAAAATGTATGTCCCCAAAAACATGTATGTAAATGTTTTTTTATGCATGTAAATGTTAACAATTACAATTAAAGTTGCCCATAACTGAAAACTGAAATGTTCATCAACAGTGAACCAACAATCAAATTTTAATGTAACCTAACAACTACTAATTTTTTTAAAAAAGGAATTGTTAATATGACTAAATCTCAAACATTAACTGAGTCAAGGAGACCTCAAAGGGATTCCATTTATATGAATGATAAAAATGACAACCACAAGAGCCAGGCATGGTTACCTGTACATACACCTGTAATCCCAGCACTCAGAAGGCTGAGGCAGGAGGACTGTTGTGAGTTCAAGATCAGCCTGGGCTACAAAGTGAGCTCAAGGCCAGCCTGAACTGCATAGTGACACCCTGTTTCAAAAAGACAAAACAAAACAATAACCACCATGGTTCTACCTAGATATTGGACATCTTAACTGGGGTATGATTATGCATGTGTACATATTGGTAAAAACTCAAATTCTTGTTTAAAGTTTATTATTTAAAGTATAAATTATCAAAATGGAGTGATTAATGTCAAACCCTAACAAAATTGAGCTAGAAGGCCATATGCCTCTGACAGGAGCTACATAAGAAATTCCTCAAAATCACAATATCCAGTGTGTGATACTTAGCCAGTTTCAGTTATCCACCAACTATGGCTTGAAATTAACTGGAATAATAATTATAAAAAAGAAATAAACAATGAAAATATTAAATAAGGTAAAAGTAACAATTCACAAATTTGAAATTGTGCACTGTTCAGAGCACTGTGATCAAATCTTACTGAACCCTCATGAGTCATGTCTATATCCAGCATATCCATGTATATATACCATTAGTCACTCGGTGACCATCTGGATACACCAAGAAATGTTACAGGTACATCCCTTAAATGAAAAGGTAAAAGTTCTCAATAAGAAAGAAAAAAAATTCCAACTAGTTTTGCAGTTAGTTTGCTGTTAATCTTCTACTATGCCTAATTTATAAATTGTACTTCACCACAGATATGTACATACTATACAGGGGAAACTAGAATATATAGAACTTGGTAAAATCTCAAGTTTCTGGCATCCATTGGGAGTCGTGGCACATATAGTTTAAGGAGACTACCATATTCCAGGTAAGCTGCTACACACCACACAGCCATCTCCACCAATGAGCTATCACCAACTACTGCAACATAACCAAGGGTCCTCAAGACTTCTTGTCACGGAAGCTGAGTGGACTTCTCATTAAAAGCATCCCCCAAGGGGCTGGGGATTTAGCACAGCAGCATAAGCGCCTGCCTTGCAAGCAGGCAGTTGTGAGTTCGATCCCTGGTACCGATAAAAACAAAAAAGACAAAAAAAAAAAAAAAAAAAAAAGCATCCCCCAAACCTTGGATATGTCAACAATCCACCACGGCATGCAATCCCAGAATGCAACCATTTTTGATACCGAGAGGATTCTCTATTGTTAATTTTACTTTGACAGTATATTTACCAGAATGCAACCACTTTTGGTATGGAGAGGATTCTCTATTGTTAATTTTACTTTGACAATATATTTAATTTTATACGACTCTTACTTCAAAAGTATTCTATACTCAAACACCCAGTCCCATGAGTGGACAGATGTAAAGAACGTTCTTTAAAAACAATTACTAAACAAAACATACAACCCATGTACCTTTTCTAAAGCACTTATTACAACAGCATTGTGACAGACAGAAAAAAGTGAACAACCTAAATGGCTCCCAATAGGAATATATAGTTAAGTAAGTTATCATAGGCCTAGGCAGCTGTGAAAAGTAGGCTGCTAGTATTACACTGAACTATTTATTTCAAATTGTATGATTAAGCAAGTGCTTGTGTCAATGTTAGGAACCAAGAAACTGAGTAAGAGAACTTCCATTATTCAAGGAAATTAAATGAAAATATTAACATTAAAGTTATTTGAGAATATCAACATAAACTCATGGTTTTTAATTTAGTTTTGACTACTCACTGAAGAGTTTCAGAAAGCAGTGTTACCTCTGAAGAAATAGCACTTTATAATAAGACGTTCCCTTTTTATCTGTATTTATTTATACATTCCAAAAACCCCAGTGTACACTTGAAATTGTGGCTACTACCAACCCTATCATTTAAGCCCTTTTCCATCTTAACTAAGCACTATCACACATCCCGTGGCTGGAACTTGCAGTTTGAGCAACAGCATAAATTTCTTTTTCCTTCTTCACAATTCCTTTTTCACCTCCCAAGTACTGTATAGAAGATTCACTTTTAGACCTTATCAACCAATCATCTTCTTCCCTAATTGTTAATAACTTCCACCTTTCACTTAATGAAGTACTTTATAATCTCTCTTTGACACCATTCAAGTCAAAAGCATCATTACTCTCGCTTTCTAAGGACAATAAACAAATAAAGTGTTATATTTGAACACCTGCTCTGTGATACTAAGACAGCAGATGTGATACCTCAGACAGCCACTGATTAATGGGTGGGTAGTGTATTCAGAGCACACAGTGGATTCACTCCTTAGCATGGAATGCCACAAGATTTCATCACACATAACCCAGGGCAGTGTGCAACTTACAACATAGGA